TCATAAAACATATAAAGGCATCTCTCCTAGCCCTAACTAGCATGCGATTCTCAGATTCATAAATCAAGTCATAATAGATAACATATATGGGTATTCTGGGGAAAACTTACTTGAGCTCGACCGATTTCAAGCACCACACCCCTTCTTTTCTTAGAAAACTCTTTCCTTGAAAATATTTCTCTTTTGAAAACTTTACAGATCCTCGGTTTGAGTTCAGACACACCCGAAAGTATGTCTGAATCCCTCAAACCAAGGCTCTGATACCAACTTGTAACGACCCAAAAATCAAGGGTAAAAATTTCATTTTTCATTATAGTTAAACACAGTTGTCACTTAATCCAACCATTCAAAAACATTGCTTAATTAAAACATTTATCAGAGTTAAATCCCAAAATCACATAATACGGAAAACACGGGTGTATGCGTTGCGATCAAGCCGGACCCTTCCTTTACAAACTGATGATACCTGAAACCATAAACAAAATTGTAAGCACGAAGCCTAGTGAGTTCCCCAGATCATACCCCACATAATCCACATAATCCACATAAACCATATCAATCACATAAGTCATGCATATAAACATATAAGGATGTCGTGGAAAGCCTCCAAGGAACTCCCTCATGGTCTTAGCCCACTGTCATGGGAACCCCCACATGGTCTTAGCCAACTGCCATAGGAACCCCCACATGGTCTTAACTAACTACCATATAAACCATACATACTATCATATAAGGATGTCGTGGAAACCCTCCAAGGTCTTACACCGGGTGCCATAGGAACCCACGCATGGTCTTAGCCTGGAATGCCATGGGAACCCCCACATGGTCTGATATCCAACTGCCTCGGGAACCCCCCGTGGTCTTCCATGCAAGTATCACAGAGACTACTAACATATCATATATCACATAAACAACTAGTATACCACATATCACATAATAGGCCATGGGAACCCCCACATGGTCTTAACTGGAAACCCCACATGGTCTTCGTATAAATACATAACATACTGACAGCACATTCGCAAATAACCACTACATGCAAGAGTCACGAAGATAACTGACATACTACATATAACTAATTGCCATGGGAACCCCCACATGGTCTTAATCTATTGCCACGGGAACCCCCCGGGGTCTTCCATACAAATGCCATACCAACATACCACATAATCAACTAGCAATCCATATATCACATAATGGGCTCGCGTTGGTGCCTTCAACCCATTGGTATGGTGAGGAGAGTCACCTCGAATGCAGAAGCTTCCCGAATGAAATCCTTAGTTGCTGCCCCACCGGCTTCCCGAGCTGTCAATACCAATCAAATGACACCCAATTAGAAATTGGGTTCTAATACATAACTATAACTTCATTCCCGGGGTAAAAAGACCATTTTACTCCTACTTGACCCTGACCAATACCTTGGCCCAAACTATAATCTGAAAGGCCCAACCATTCATTCTAGTCCAAACACTTGGCATTCTTATGGTCCAATATCCCACAATCCTCGAAGCCCAATTAGGGCCTACTTATGGCCCAATAAGGCCCAAATCCGTCATGGACCTAACCCGAGAAAGCCCAATGTCCAAAAAGGCCTAAAATACATAATGGTCAAACCTAGTCAACACCTGGTCAAAGTCAAAGTCAAAGTCAACGTTCCGAGTTGACTTAACTCGTCGAGTTACCAATCAACTCGTGGAGTCGATCCCAAAGCCAAAATCGCCATGTTGCGATCCAACTCGTCGAGTTTTCCTACAACTCGTCAAGTTCCTCTTTATTCCAACAGAATCGGGGTAACCCCAACCCAACTCGTCGAGTTCCCCTATGAACTCGTTGAGTTCTTCAGTCTGTCAACCCACTTAATGCATTAAGCCCTTTTTCTTGAATCCAAAGGTTCCAAACTTCAGATCTGAGGTCCTAAGGTGGTTTAATTCTATAAAGTTTCCGACTTTACGCTCATGCATGTTAGACACACCTCCAGGGGCTCGTTTATGGCTTCATAATGGACATATTGCATGAATGGGACCTAGAGGCCAATAAAGTTTGCAACTTTAAGCCTCAAGAGGTCATGTAGGGGTCAGATCTACTCCATCAATCCCTGGAAACCTCTTCTCTTTGGATAACTCAACCAAAGTCTCAAAACATAAGCTAAAAATTCAAGAAGGGAGATCTTGTTAACTACAAGTCAAGGTGGCGACTTTATACCTCAAAGATCCAGCCATTGAGGAAGAGTTTCTGGATCTAGTAGCTCCTTCTTCTATCCCCGAGCTTTCTTTCTTTCCAGGTGGCTTCAAACACACACAACACGCTCAAAATGGCTCACAATCACTCAAAAGTGCCTTAGGGTTTCGAGGTTAGGGTTTAGGACAGTGCAGGCTGGAAATGAGGCTGTCTTCTGAGGTTTAAGTTGTTTAAATACGGTACAAAATCCCGGAATTAAGGTTTCCCAAACCCTGTCTAACTCGTCGTGTTGGACCTCCCCAACTCGTCGAGTTGGTCTTCCAAAAACACGCGTGACAATTTTCCTACACGTCGAGTTCTTCCCCCTGAACTCGACGAGTTGGACTTATAAATGAAGTTTTATCTTCCTTAATTGACCTTCTAGATTCCGAGTGTTACATTATCTCTATGCAATGCTAGTTAACAAAAGATATTGTCCATTGTTTTAAAAGAAAATGGATTACATGGCTTATCTATAAGATATAAGGTTTTGCCTATGTTTTATTGCACTTTTACTCCTTACTATTTATTTTTTCTATTATTTTAATCAAGACATGATGATTTTGGTTTTTCAGCAAAAGAATGGAGTGGGTGGGATAAAGAAGACTTTAATTCCACCTTATTATTAATCTCCTCTATCTCATGTAGCTAAATCCAAACCCAAACTAAAAACTTTATGTTTTGTTTCACTAATAGAAAATTACCTAAAGTTTTAATTTTTCCATGGCTAATTCGGTTTATTTTGAGTCTATTAAATTTTTATTCTCTATTGTGCGGCTAATTTGTAGTTCCTAATTATCTTATAGTATATTAGTTATATGTACGATTATGTACTTAACAAAATAACATTCGTTAATAAGTAAGAATAAAAATTGGCCATTTTTTTTAAATATTTAAAAATATATATTAATTTTAAATAATCAATATAAAAGTCTGTACAAAACTTACCTCTTATTAATTTAGCAAAATTTTATAAATTTTTTACTCGTGGTTTCCACGGTTTGTAACTTATTTAGTAAATATATACACATAGGGATGATGATAGCATTATAGATAAATCTTTATGCTCAACTTTTTATGTTTAATATTGGTAACGAATTTAAGACTAAAAATAACACCTTGAAAGTCAATTGACATGTATACTATATATATTAAAATTGGTTTTTTATTACGTTAGACTATCTATAATATGCTATAAGCTAAACATAATATAACTTTATTAAGAAAAATAAAACTTACTTTAAAATTTATTACTAAAGAAGTTGATTTATAATATTTTTTAACTGTTAAACGTATACATGAAATATAAATTTGTTTTTAAAGTCTTAATCAACATAATCAAATGAAATTTGTAATTTTATGATATGTTTTTATTTGATTCAAAAAAAATAAAAAAATAAAAAAATAATAATAATAATAATAATAATAATAATAATAATAATAATAATAACTAACATTTATAATCGGTTTTTATATAACGATTTATATTTAATATGATATTAATTAGTTAATATTAAAAATGAAGATTTATACATAAAACATATGTTTTCAAAAGTCATAATCTAATTAATATCATATTACACTGCCTTATTTATTGGATACTATTTGCCTGATTCGATTTTGTTTGAATTAATAACTTTCATATTATGCTTAATTTATGGGATTATGTAATAAGTTTCTACACTTAATGCTGGCTGATTTTTAAGGATCCGATTTTGGTTGAACTTGAAAAATAGGTAGGAATAATAGAAATAGGTGAAGGAGAAGCTCCTACTTAGCAATGCATGACATAGAAAAATGACATGTGATAACTTAAGGTTCGTTTTATTAAAAGAGAGATATTTTGAGAAATATGAATTTTTTTGCTGTTTGACTTACTTTTTTTAACACTAGACCATAAAATAATTTTAATGAACTGCCAAATTTGGGGATGTCATAGTCTCTACCCTCAAATTGGTGGTCCAAAACTCTATTCCAATATCCAAAATCTTAAAATATCATAAAAAATAATAATAATAATAAAATAAGTGATGATTTGTAAATAACACTTTTTAGTCATAATAGTTGTGGTGACTTGGTAAAGCATGTGGAAGATATGGTGGATAACTTATTGACCCATGTTCAAAGCCTGGCACCACTCAGCCTTTGTGGTCATGGAGGTTCGCCTGCAGTGACTCCAGGGCATGAAGCAAAGTCTCATGTTTGCAGCGGAGGATTAGTCGGTGCGCGAAAGCTGGCCCGAAAACCCTCGTTAGGGAAGTTCTCTTTCCAAAAAAATTATGTTTTATATAATTGTATAGTACAACTATCTAATATTATGTTTTATATAGTTATATGGTACAACTATCTAATACTTAAATTGTTAATGCACAAATTGCTCTTGAATACAACAAGTCTCGTTTCGTTGTAGTGATAGTGGCAATCAAACTCAAAAGCAATTGGACTCCATATTTTAATAGAACTAATAAAAAATGAAGGATTTCAATTTTTGATCGTAAATGCAAAAAAAGGAACCTTTACTATCCAACATGTACATAACATACAAATGATTTTAGTTGTTTACACAATTTCCTTTAAATTTGTATTTTTCATTATAATTTAACAATAAAAACAACAATTATGAATTTATAATATTTATATAATTCGCAAATTTCATTCGTCACAATAAACCATCGTATCACACAAAGGCTAATAACGTAAATTCACCTCACTTGCATATAGAAGCCAACACACGACGAGTACGAGCTTCCGATTTAACAACCGGGCTAGGAGAGCCAAATTATCTAGTAAAACATCACCTTTCTTCCATCGAATAGCCACACATTCATCTTCCAAGATTTTGATACACTCGTATTGTCATACACTACATCAGCCGGCAACGCCTCACCATTGCCAAAAGTCACCGGCTCCGGTTGAATCACCGCCATGTTATCCCTTTCAGTCACCATGCTATTAAACCATGTCTTCCTTCCTCTTCCATTATCGATTATGAAAGCAGGCTTCAGACCTATTACAATCTTCACTGCATCTGAACCATCGTCTATCCATTCCAGCTTCATTCCCACCTTCGCAGCTCTGTGGGATTCATAATTTTGTAACGAAATCAATTCATAAACAATGGCAAGTAATTAAGTAACTAAGTATAAGAAGAGGGATGAAGTAAATACCTTTGTAAACTCGGGAGAAAACTTTCGTCCGGAATGCGCCGCCGCCTATATACTCCATGGGAAGGAAACCTGTAGCTTCAACTACTTCAGTGAAGTCGGATGGTGAGTCAATGGGGAAGCCGAAGAAGAGAATAGCTCCGGTTTTCTGGAGAAGATCCTCCAGCCATGGTTTATGAGATTCGATGGCTTAAATAAGGCGAAGAAGGTTAGTTTCAGGAGAGGTTGGAGAAAGTACAGCGGGGAAGACAACTCCATTGACGAGCTTCTTCTGGTGAGGGAAGTTTACGTGGTGGAAGAAGCTTTCTTTCATGGCAATGGTAGGTTCGTCCATGCATTGATCGCCATTACTCACTTAAAATTGCTTAAATTTGATACTAGTTTTTTTTTTTTTTTTTCTAAGAATGTAAAATCTTTTCATTGGATTATGTCATGGAATCCTGTAAAAAATAATTAATATATAAAATTACAAAGTTTTAGTGTTGTGAATTGTGGTTGCGACATTTACCTAAAAACGTGTATTTTAATTAGGGTTAAATATAAAATAAGCAAAATTTTATTAAAAGCTTTTTATTTTTACACAAAACTTCATAAATGGTCCCTGTGGTTTCTAAAAATTTGGCATATCTCTCTAAGTTCAAAAAATGTCATAGATGGTCTCTGTGGTTTCAAAACTTTTGTCTTTCACCCACATACAAAAACTTTCTATTTCTTTTTAGAATTAATTTTACCTAATCATATTTCAAAAAATAGAAAAACAAAATAAATAATCTATTGGGCTCTCTCTCTCTCTCTCTCTCTCTCTCTCTCTCTCTCTCAAACAACGAAAATCAGATCATGTTCTTCGAAATTATCTTCAATCGAAATCAGGTTCATTATCGAAAATCCATGTATACAATCAAGACCTAGTTCATCTCATTCATCTGAATCGAATCATCAACGAAACCGTTTTGATCAGCCTTCACTCATTTGATGAACACATCTAGTTCAACCAAATGGAAATCTCATTCAAGCAAATTCGAAGCTCGCCAAATTGAATCAGTACCTAGAAGAGCTTCCCCGATCCATGTTACATGTTACCGCATCTCCGATGAAGATCCAACGTAAACATTTACCTCCGAAATTAATCAAACATTCATGATTCTTGTAGAGAACATTCGCCGGTGTGACATCCCCATTTTTACGGTCATTTTAAAATTTTTTATTTATGCTTATTTAAAACAAAGTTTATATATAAATGCGAAATTTGTCCCATAAAAGTATTTATGAAGAAATGTTTTTCATTGATTATTAAAAACTTTTGGATGTCATAACTGATACAAGAAACATAAGCATAAGTAGGCCTTACAGTATCTTAGAGTAACAATCTACATCTCCTTGAATATCTCATCATTCATGTACCTTTATACCGCTACCTTTGATACAAAGAAGCTGAGTGGTCATGTTGGAAAACCTTGTGAGTACATATGATTTTTAACCCATAATAATATAATTAATATGTTTAATTATCAGTCAAACAATTAACCCAATTACTCATCCCATTTTTCTTCTATATTAATTTATGTGGAACTATCCTAAAGATGATCGCCAATATCACATTATATATTCATCGCTATGGACTTCTCTTACGAGTCATCGCCTAACATTGAATTGAAAATACTACTCCGGGGATTCCTCCGTAATACATGCAAGTAGAGTACAACGCATGAATACGTGGTTCGTACATTGCATGAACTCGTAATTCATCACCTATAGGTTACGAACACGTCGATGTTCCACTAGACTGTTTAGATTAGTCTGTGGTCGTTGTCTATATTATGTTAGATGACTACATCACAAACATCACAATCATCGCAAGTAAAAGTCATGGTCTCTCCTGTATTTCTATTGTTTAAGGACCTCTCTTAATCATTTTTCATCTTTCATCTCCCATCTCTCATCATCCATCACTACCCTATATATATATATATATATATATATATATATATATATATATATATATATTATATATATATATATATATCTATATATATATATATATATATATAATATATATATTGCAAAATAAGTACGAAAATACTTATATAATTAAATCGAGTAAAATAATGTCATATAGGTTCATCCAACACATATTGTAACGCCTCGTTTCAAATCATTCCCATTCCGGGGTGGTGATCAAGGAGTGGGTATTAGTTGAGTTAGAACCATTGAAGAGTTGAGATTGGACTCATTTGGAGGTGGATGATGTAGTTGATGGGTTTTGAGCACTATAACAACCTTATGGTGCACATACAACCCTAATGTTTTGGATCTATGTTTTCTCTAATTATACATGTAATATTTTTTTCCAAAGCATGAAGCCTAACTAGCATACAAAATTTGGTATATGAATCATAAAAACTAGTTAGAAGAATACCTCTTGTTGTAGCTTGTTGTATTTGGCCATTAAGAACTTAGCACCTCAAGTGTGATGCCTCAAATGGTTCACAAAACATCACCAACAATTGGAGAACTTGAGAGAGAGGTTAGGAACACCCTAAAATCGGCTATACCCTTGCTATAACACTTGTGCATCCAATTTTGGGCTGTAAGGGGTTACATATATAGTGTTAGAATTCCAAGAGTCATGTGTAACCCTAATTCTTACACTTAGGCTTGTAATGGACTAACACTTTATGGTACATAAGCTTAGCCCATCACTAATCAATCATGGATTATTAGCCCAACCTATATGTATCATTGATTTACACAATCAGCCCCCGTATATTTAATTAGTTTCTTTTGATCACTAAATTAATTCCAAATTAATTTTTGATCAAAACTAATTAAATAATATGATTCCTCAACTAATATATTATACTTATAATATATCAATAAATCAAAAATAACCTCTTTCTCAAATATCCATCCTATCAGATTGTTCTGGTGAATGCAACCCAAAATGGATCATGCTAATCTCGGGTCAAGTACATACCAATTATAGTTATGGGCTTTGACACCTAATCCAACAGTCTCCCACTTGGATAAGTCTAATAACTATAACCTGCAAGTACGACTTAAAACCGACAAGAAATCGTAGCTCTTAAAAGCCGCTGTCAAACTCTGACGTGCCATTTTAGATAAGGGATCATATAATCCTCTGTTCTACATGATATCGTGCTGACAAATACATGGAACATAGTCATACTTATTGTCCAACAGTTTGTTTCCCGATTTCCGATTGTTTGACATAGAACTTAATTGAACACATCAATAGAGTTCTGACTGGGACCGGCACATAAGTCAAAACAAAATCATCGAGTGGCCCAAGATATCGCTTTTAATCCTCCAAGGATTAAAAGGAACAGATAAAGTTCGACTTATATGCTTGTACTAACTACTCGTTAAATCATACACAATAGCACGTTTTATAACATCAAGTTACTGATGCGTTTTCGCACTATCAATGTACAACCAACTCATAGTCAACAACTCATATATCTCGATTTGAAGACTATATGATATTATCGTCTCACAATCACTCGTGATAAATTCCATGAAGTGATTCATGTGAGCGTGGGTTTAATCCAATACTCAGACCTTATGAGCACTCATGAATGTTGTAGCAAACTTTTGCCATGTCTAAACACTCTAGACAATCTACAAGCCAAATTCATGACAGTCTTGCCTAAATACCTACTTCCAAAGTATGATCGATTGTGGATAGTTTGAATAATTTTATTATTCTGGAAGTCAAAACATGCAAAATGAAACAATTGTAAACAATTGCCACAAGATAGTAGCTTTACTCATAAATAAAACTCCTTTTATTTAATCATCAAATGTCAATCACATTTTACCTATTACAAGTTTCTGAACAACTATCTAATCATTAAAACTAATATCGTCCTTCAGCCCAATGCTCCTCGCATGATATAAGTGCTTAACCCTACTCAGTCCCTTTGTAAGGAGATCGACTGGGTTCTCCTCTGACGATACCCCTCTTTGCTACGACGAGTCCTTCTTCTATCCGATTTCTTATGAAGTGATATTTTCTGTCGATGTGTCTGGATCTGCCATGATCCCTCGGTTCCTTGGCTAAGGCGACCGTACTCTCGCTGTCACAGAAAATCTCCATAGGCTCCTTTATAGTTGGTACAACTCCACGTTCTCCGATGAAGTTCTTCAGCCATATCGTCTCCTTCGACGCTTCGCTTGCAGCTATGTACTCTGATTCGCACGTTGAATCATCTACAGTCTCCTGTTTGGAACTTTTCCAAGTTATTGCTCCTCAATTCAGGGTAAATATCCAGCCCGACTGAGAGCGGAAATTATCTCTGTCGGTCTGAAAGCTGGCGTCACTATACCTTGTCACTCTCAAGTCATCACTCCCACCGAGGGTAAGGACCCAGTCCTTAGTCATCCGCAGGTAGTTAAGAATTTTATTTACCGCAGTCCAGTGAGCTTTACCAGGATTCCCTTGATATCTGTTGACCATGCTCAAAGCAAAGGCCACATCAGGGCGAGTACAAATCATAGCATACATGATCGAGCCAAATGCGGAAGCATATGGTACTCGACTCATCTCTGCTATCTTGGCCTTTGTACTCGGACTCTGAGTCTTACTCAGTTTGGTATTGCTCTGGATAGGTAATTCCCCTTTCTTGGAATTCTCCATGTTGAACCGTTTCAACACCTTATGCAAGTAGGTACTTTAACTAAGTCCAATTAGTCTTTTACTCTTGTTTCTCAATATCCTTATCCCTAGAATATAGGCAGCTTTCCCAAGGTCCTTCATAGCGAAACACTTCCCAAGTCAGGACTTAACCTCCTGCAAGACTGGGATGTCATTTCTTATGAGAAGTATGTCATCCACATATAACACCAAAAAGCTAACTATACTCCCACTAGCTTTGACATATACACAGGACTCATCCTCGCTTCTCGAAAATCCAAACTCTTTGACTTTCTCATCGAAACAAAGATTCCATCTGCGAGATGCTTCTTTCAGTCCATAAATGGATTTCTCAAGAATACACACTCTATTAGGGTACTCTGACACTAACGAAAACCCTCTGGCTGACTCATGTAAACATCTTCAGCCAACTTCCCATTAAGGAAAGCGGTTTTGACATCCGTTTGCCATATTTCATAATCATGAAATGCAGATATCGCAAGCATAACCCTTATAGATTTAATCTTCGCTACTGGTGAGAAGGTCTCATCATAGTCAACTCCATGAGTTTGAGTAAAGCCCTTCGCAACCAATCGCGCCTTATATATGTGTACTTTCTCATCCATGTCGGTCTTCTTCTTGAAGATCCTTTTGCACCCAACTGTCTTACGACCTGGTAC